CAATTAGTTACACGAATTCAGATATGGAGCTTTAATAAGTTGTACTTACGCATAATCTACTTGTAATCTTGAGTTTTAAGTAATATGCATTAATAACAGTACTTTACGTATAAAAAGTAGTTTTTAAGAGTTTTTGTCAAATGCTTTATAATATAGTATAGATTATTTTTTTTAATTTAATTTAATTTAAGTTTAATAATTAAATAATTTATTTTTGGTTTAATAATATAACATTTTATAAATATAATAATTAAGTATTTTGTTAGAACTCAATGATTATCCTAATTATATTTTTGGTTTTTTAATATATAAAATGAGATGTTTATCATGTATTTGATTGTGTTTATCTGCAGTTAGTTACACGAATTCAGTTATGGGATGAAATCAAATAGGGATGAAATTGTTTAGGGATGAACGGGTTTAAGAGTTTTAAGAGTTTAAGAGTTTTAAGAGTTTAAGAGTTTTAGTCAAATGCTTTATAATATAGTATAGATAATTTGATCTGATTTTAAATAAATTTTAAAAAACCTATGAAATATGTTGTTAATATTCAGGTGACGTGGTCAACAAAGAGAGCTTCAGACGCACAATGAACGTGATTCGCTGTTGGCGTTGGCACCACCTCTACCGTTCACTTCAACCTTTTCCTAGTTAATACCAATATAATAACTTTTATACATACATATATATATATACATATATATATATAGGGTATATTTCCAATATATATATATATATAGGTATATTTCAAATGCAACCATATCTAATTGTACAACCAATACAACCAAATCAATTTAGATATTTATAAAAATGATGAAAGTTCATTTATTATGAATAAAATATGTATGGAAGATGAATTAAGTTTATTAATTATGATCAATACTTTATATTAAGAAATAATCAAAACTTTTATGAAATCACGTATTTATCAAATCAATTAGACGGCTGAGATTGAGTTGTATTGATTATGCAAATATAAATGGTTGCAAATAACTCACCTCTATATATATATATATACATCCAATATATCTATATCTATATATATAATATTATAATTACAATTTTTTATAATATATAAAAAAAATCCTAAATTCTGTTTTGTTGTTCCTTGACTGAGTAAAAAACCTTAATCATTAAGCAACCTTATGCTTGAAATATGATCGCAAGGAAAATATATTTAAAAAAAAATGTTTATTTCAATACCAATAGAATAACATATTCAATTATGATTCAACGATTAGGGATTATTTGATAGTTATTGAATGATTTGATGCATAATGATTAAATAGTCAAAATTATTAAGAGGCTCTTATGGTGTAGTGGAAAATGAAATATAATTGTTTGGAATGAATTTTAGGGCATTGAATGATTAAGGAAGACACAAGATACAAAATCATTTAGAGTATTTTAGAACCATTAAGAGACATATTTTTTTTTGCCAAACAAGATTCACCTCCTAGTGATTTAGAGATTGTCTCTTAATGGACAGTCAAGCAGTAGCAATAACAACGATGAAAATTCAACCTGCAGTTCTTATACAGGATGTGGTTTTATGCTGTGGGAAAAGTCTAATATAAACAAGGGAAGGATGGGGACAGAGAATATTGCAAAAACTGGGTACTTAATGAGAGGTACGTTTGTTGTCTCTTTCGGGCTTACATTCCAAGGTGCTATTTATATCTTTGTGTTCGTTCGTTTAGAAATCAGGTGTGTTCGTGTTTATTTATGTTCATTCGTTAACATGTTAAACGAACGTACACGAACAGGTTTAAACGAACATAAACAAACGAACACCATTACTTATCATTCAATTAACTACTACACATCAATTATCTGGAGGCCACGGTTTTGGAGGGAAAGTGAAAAGGTAAAAATTTCAAATAAGACAAAATTATAATAAAATTTAAATCTAAATAAATTTTAAAAAGTTAAAACTTAAATAAATATTATTTGAATTCAAACTAAATAAAAAAAATATATATATTAAATGAACATAAATGAACGAACGAGACTTTTGTTCATGTTCGTTCGTTTAACTAAAAGAACAAAAAGATTTGTTCATGTTCGCTCATTTATTAAATAAACGAACTTCTTGTCGAACGATTCGTTAAACGCTCGGTTCGTTTACAACACTAGTTTTATGTATGCATAATTATTATACTTTTTAAATAATTAAATAACATTTTTACTGTTGATAATAGATAATGAAACTTTTATTTTCCCCATCTCCTAACTAAAAGTATAATAAGGGACCGTTTATTAAATGCTTATTTGGTAAGTGTTTACCGGATAAATTTCCTCATCGGATGAATACAAAAGAGCCAAAAATCTTACTGGGTAAGAGCGAAGAGAAAGATGAAGAGTTTTACTCGGTAAGCGAGAATTATGACTCTTACCCAAGTAAGCGCTTACTTGGTAAATTGTTGGATTCGATATGTTTTGATGCATTAAATCTTACACATCAAAATAAATTATAGTGTTGATACATTCGGTAAACATTTACCGAATATGCATTTGGGTAAAAGGCCCTAAGAAAGTGAAAACTTAATTTTAAAAAATTGACACCTATTTTAAAAAACTATAAGGTTAATCGACCCATGCAACGAGATATATCTTGATTTCAATGTTTCATAATACGAATTTATGTGGTTTTGAGCAAACAATAATATTATAATTTAATTTAGATTTAGATTTAATGACGAAGTAATTTATTTTTGGTTTGATAATATAGTTGTTATAAAGATAATAACTAAGTATTTTGTTATAACTCAATAATTATTTTAATTATATTTTAGATATATTTATAATAAAAAATTTATCCTGCATTTAATTATATTTATCTATATTTAGTTACACGAATTCAAATATAAAGTTTAATAAGTTATACCTATATACAATTTATTTGTAATCTTAAAGTTTAAGTAATATACATCAATGACTAATATTTCATATATAAAATATGGTTTTTAAAAATTGTTGAAAAATATTTTATAATATATCATAAACAAACTAAAATTAGAATACGAAGAATTGGTTTGACACGTAGGAAGTATAATGTTTATTTAATAAAATTAATAATTTATTTAAAAATGACGTCATGCGCATATCCTCACCGACCCGGTTTTGGATACCTTGATATTTAAATCATTGTATCGCACACTTTCGAAGGAAAGCCGACTCGATAACGACTTATCTTTCAATAAAACATTATTTATATATATATATATATATATATATATATATATGATTGGGTTCACATGAGACCTAGGGCATTTCGTAAGACTCATGAGACCAATTTATATTTATTGATCAATTTTATAAGCTAATGATCGTAATTATTAAAAAATCTCGTGACAATTTTATGATTAAGAATGTTAAGATTATAGATTTAATCCAACAGTTAAAGATTGGTCTTACGGGTCTCAAAAAAACTTTGGTCTCATATGATCCCAAGTCTATATATATATATATATATATATATATTATTATTATTATATATATACATATATTTATTATTTTCAAAGTATTATTATATTCATTATATAAATGGTTAATTAAAATATATTAAAAAACTATATGTACTTATTTATTGACTTTTATATAGACATATAATAAAAAATTAAAGTAAATTACATTAATAGTCCTTGAACTTTGTCATGATTAACAAAAATGTCCCTACAGTTCTTTTATTATAGATTAGTCCTCGATGTTTGCAAACATTCTTGGATTTCGTCCCCTAATTAATGGTTTTTATGCTCTTTTGTTAACTTTGGTTAAGTCGAGGGACGTTTTGGTCACATTACATTTACCATTTTGGTCCCTTTTTTCTTCTCTCTCTCTGTCTTACATCGGTTCGTAAGGGGAATGGAGGTTTGCTTATAAGGAATTGGATACCACTTATATCATACGCATTTTAAAACCGTGAGTTCAAAGTAGGTTTGGGATGTTACAACACACACACACACATACACCCCCCCCCCTTTTTTCTATTTGCCCTACGCATGGCAACAGAGCGGGGATGAGGCGGGTTTTGTAATCCCCGACCCTTGTTTGTAGTAATTTTCCCCGACCTTGGTCCCTGGAGGGTATGGGAATTATCATCTCGTCCCCGGTCAAATCTCTAGTAATCCCCGGTAAAACCCCGGTCAATCCCCATAAATAGTATCCTTTAGTTTGATTCTACCGGGGATCCCCGGCTCCGGTTTAAGTAACATCCCCGGGACCCGTTTTAGCAGGGAAAACCGGATTCTCCATCGGGTCGGGGCAGATCACCATCACTAATTTGCCCATTCTCCTCTCATCATGACCATCACTTTTCTTTGGAGCTCCATCTCCAATCATCTTCTCTTGTGAAAAAGCACAATATCTTCTCTAACTAAAGTGTTGCACGAAATCAGACATATATATGATTGTTAAAATTAGAATATGTGAAAGCACACCTTCAAATACACCCCCCCTTCTACAGTTATCGAAATCTAAACCTAAGTACAGAAGTTCCATTTTTATAATCAAAGAATTTCCGTAATTACTTTATCAAAGTTTGATCCTTAATATACATACTGCAATCAAACATAGATTTATGCAATGCTAAACCATACATTAGAAGTTTTGTCGAACACTAAAAACAAACATTCTTAAATTGATGGGATTCATGATCTGTTGCAGGATCCACCAAACAAAGAAGAGGGGGAGCACAAATGTGATGAAGTGGTGGGGAAGGGGTCAACGACGACAATGGTTGGTTTGAAGACAGAAAGGCTGTTGGTCGCCGAAGATGTGGTTGGTGATGCAGTGGATGCCATATGGTCGATACTACACGTGAGTGGGGTGGACTTCCATGCAACGAATTTCCCCCCCCCCCTCTCTCTCTACACATATAATATGATAATCCAATTGTTTTTTAATAGAAAACAATAGGAAAGACTAAGGGCCCGTTTAACAAATGCTTACTTGGGTCAACGCTTACCAAATTATATTACCTTACCAGATGAATATGATGAGGACAAAAAACCTTACCCGATAAGAACGAGACAAGGACCGAGAGTCTTACCCGGTAAGTGAGAGCAATGACTCTTACAGCAATCAGCTCTTACCAGGTAAATTGTTGCATAAAAAGCCATTTTTGTTGACTAAAATCTTACCCGGTAAGTAAATAACAGTATTGAATTTTCTCGGTAAATGCTTACCGGATAAATGTTTGGTAAACGACCCATAAGTTGATTAAAATAACTCTCATTTAACTGAATCTAACAGAAAAACTTAACATTTATTAGTGAGAGAGAAAAAAATCCAAGAAATAACAAATACAAATCTATAATAAAAATATGCTAAGGACCAATTTCGTAAAAAGTAACAAAGTTCAGGGACCAAAAATGTACTGTACTTATAAAATTATAAATATATAACGCGCTCTCTCTCTCTCTCTCTCTCAATCTCGATATGTATTCTCTGTGATTTCATCATTTTCTGATATGTATTTATACGCATCACCGATACCGAGGGAGAAATACAGATACGATTTCCAAATAATCCAATCAACCGCCTAATTTCTTCCCCAATCCTCCCCTTCAATTCTGGTTGCTATCTGCATGATCTGAACTCGATCAAATTTCGCTGTGTTTGATCTCAATTACTGCTTCTTCTTCATCACTTCTGCTGTTGTTTTACTTGTGATTTCTTCTTCTGCTTTCGTTTTTAGCTATTTGTTAATAATGGCGTTATTAGACACGCCTGAGATTGGAGAAACGACTACGACGACGGCGGCCACCATGCGCGGTGAGATAAGAAGGCGGACGAGTGTGAAGGCTGATGCCGGAATCGGCGACGGGTTGTATGATTCTTCGTCGTCTTCGAAAACGAACTCTTCCGATGATGGTGAGAATTTGAATAATGATTTTAATGAGAATGGTAAGGAACAGATCCAAGCTGGTGAGGGAACAATGGAGGAGTCGAAGGGAAACGGTGAAAAGATCGACCAGGGAGGAGTAAAAAAGGGAGGTGAAACGAGTGTGGTGCATTATGCGTATCGGCCTTCTTCTCCAGCTCATCGTAGAATTAAAGAGTCTCCGCTTAGCTCTGACGCCATCTTCAAGCAGGTTCTTGCTTTGCTTTAATTTTACTCATCTGTTTATTTGTTGTTTAGTTGCCAATTACACATATTATGGTAATTCTTTTTTTATATGATGTAATATAATGTATGTTGTGTTTCTAATAGAGTAAACAACTTCTTCTAAATTTTGAATAATCATTGTGTTCATCAATAGTCAATTCTGGATATGAGGGTCAAATGTTACTTGCCGTATAAAGGCAGCCTGATTAAAATTGACAGCTGCTACGGGAGTGTTGCGTGACAAGAAAGTTCTGTTAAAGCTGAAGGGCAAATTCTGTAGGGTAGCCATTAGAATAAATATGTTGTACGGCGCGGGGTGTTCGACCATAAAAGAGAGCACATGAGAGGAATATAGAGGTGGCTGAGATGAGGATGCTTAGATTGACTTATGGAAGGACCATGCTAGATAGGATGCCAAGTGAGGTTTTTCAAGCTGAGGTGGGAGTAGCACCTATCACGGATAAGATGAGAGAGGTGAGATTGTTGTGCTCTGGGCACACTAGTAGGAGATAGATGTCTGCACCAAGGAGGAGGACGAGAAGTGTTAGGGTCACGGGTGAAAAGAGGGGCAGGCTGAGGAGGTGGTGCACGGAGCAACTGGAGAATGGACATGACGATGTTAGCCGTTACAGAAGACTTGACCTCAGATAGATGTTTGTGGCGCTAGTCTAGGGTAGCAGATTGTGTTTAAGGACTTGTGGTTTTGGTCGGGGGTAGGAGGGAGGTAGCACAGCTCTAGGAGGGTCAACTGTCTTTAGCTGGCTCAGTGATTCCTTTCTTTTTAGTATGCTTTTAATGTTCTTGCTTTGCTTTTTAATCTTATTAGTATTTATATTTGTTCTTGTTAGTTTTTTCCCAACTCCCCTAGACTCCTTATTCTTTCTTTTATTTTGTTTTGCTTTCCTTTCTTTTAATTTTTGGGTTTTCATGGAAGCTGTCTATCTATTCTTGGGGTGAAGGTAAGCCATGCGTACAGCCTACCCTACCCAGACCCTACTTCGTGTGGGCTTACCAAGTTCATTTAGTTTGGTTTGGTTTAGTTTGAGAGTAAGGATTTGTGTATGAATAAGAACCAAAAAGAGTGGAGAAATGTTGGCATAGAGTGCTTGGTGGTAAGTCATTTTTCATGTTTTTTATGCATGTTAAGATGATACTCTAGTTCGGTAGGTTGAATATGATACACATAGTCAATTAGTTTAGACAAAGAAACGATGGTGAAGAAATCATGAATTGCTCTCCTCCACCTATTTTGCCTAAGCTTAAGTTCTTACTAATATAGTAGTACTGAAATCAGTTATTATCCTTCACCACTTTGTCTAGGAATTTTTTTAGGATACTACTAATTCTCTCCTGTTGATATGATTATATCTGATTCATGTTAGTGCCTCAAAAAGCTTACCTTGGAGATGATGTAGTACTTGTAAATTAGAATATCCAATTAACCTCAAATAATCATGTTGTTATGCTTCCTCAGCCAATGCTTTATTGCAAACTCTATCTTGGACTTCTAACACTGTGAAGAAAAACAACGGCACACTATATGAAGGGGAACTTTCTGAAGTTGCTTTAAGAGCATCTACAACAGATTCTCCAAAATGGAGAATTTGGGGATTTTTGCTCCCAACAGATTCTCCAAAACCTTCTCCAAAATGGGGAAAGTAGGAGAGAGAAGATGAAACTCTCCAAAAATAATTACTTAGGAAAGAGAAATAATTTTTTATTCTTCCTACCAATGGGAATTCTTGAAATTAAATGTTTAGAAGAGAGAAATAATAATTTGTGAATTGTATTGAATATTTTAATAATCTAATTAATATTGTGATCTTCAAAATGGAGAAGCTGTTAGAGATGATAGTAATTTCATTTTAGAAATTTTAACTTTTGATTCTCCATTTTGGAGAATCTACTGGCGATGCTCTATATATAGAAATTTTAGAATTATGAAGAGATGTAGCGGACTTTTGCTAAGAGACGAGTCTATGTTTACCCTTCCATCTCAAAACCTTTGGAAGTCGGTAAAGTGGCATGCTATTTGGATGTTCCAAAATGAGAGTTTTCTACTTGGGTATGTCCATTATGTTGTTTACAAGAAAACAATCAGGCTAGACTTGACAGACATCCTTTTGCTTTTTGAGTGTGATTTTAGAACATTCTTGAGCTGTCTATTGATGCTATTCAGTGAATATAGGGCATCTCTTTCATGTTACATGCTGTTAATCATCTATAATGTGTTTGTATGCAAGTCATTTAAGGGGTTTAAGAATATACATTCTGGGGTATCATTACTTATGCTTGTATTAGTTATCTGAAGAACATACATATGAAATGTGCTGATTAAGAATTATAGTCTCATGGATTTAGTCTCTTTAACAAGTCATTTATAACGCAACATATTGTCTTCTGGCACAATTCCAGAGTATAGATTATGTCCCATGTAGTTGTTTTATTCTGTGCATTCGTCTCTTTTTTTCATTATTTTGTTATTTTCATTTTTTTGTATTATTTAAGACATAAGTCGAAGGGCTAATTAGAAACCTCTGGCAGAGTCATGCAGGCCTCTTTAACCTTTGCATAGTGGTGCTTGTTGCAGTAAATGGTAGACTCATCATTGAGAATCTGATGAAGGTAAGCCCTATGTCGGTCTCCTCACAATCTTTGCCATTTATATTAGTCTTCCAGTGTTGTCCAACTGCCTTGAGTATACACACAGCCTTCTATATCCATGTTGCTGGAGCAGTGTGATTTTTGTATCATCTTATATGCTTCCATGGATCGTTTATATTGCTGCTGATAACATAACCCGAACTACTTTTGCAGTATGGATTATTGATCAATTCCAATTTTTGGTTTAGTTCTAGATCATTGAGAGATTGGCCACTTCTGATGTGCTGGTAATGTTCTTGCAATCTTTCTTTTTGAGTATGTCTTATAAATTTCGTTCCATATTAGAAATAGTTACTCTATTTCAGTAAAAAACTACTGCATTTTTATTTTTGTGATATATAGTGGCAGTTTCTAATTGGTATGAACATGCCATTTTTTGATTTCTTCTACAGCCTCTCTCTTCTGATCTTCCCGCTTGCTGCCTACATTGTTGAGAAATTGGCATGGCAAAAACGTATATCCGACCCTGTATGTGAATTAATCTGAACTGCTAGTAGGCTAAAACAGTGTTGATGTATGGAAATTTTTTGACATCACGGCTTGGGAAATGTTTAATCTGATCTACTCTTGTAGGTTGTGATCACTCTCCATTTTACAATAACTACAACTGCAATTCTGTATCCAGTTTTCATGATTCTCAGGTTAGTTTGTTTATGCTCTTAATGCTTGTGGAAGTACATTTCTGCTTATTGCCAAGCTATTTGAAGTCTAGTCACAGTTAACCTTATTTTTGTTATTAGTGTTGGATCGTTTGAAAAGATTGAATATGAAACCGATGTATAGCTCGTCTACCATTTTTATGATATGAATTTATGCTGCAATATGCTATCTCTGAGTGCTGGTACAATTATCCATGATAATACTGGTGTTTTCTGTAAACCAAACCATTGATGTTGTTTAGCAGTGTTTTCAGATTGGACATGCTCAAACGTTTTTTAACATTCAAGTAAAAAGTATATCTGGCTTTTTGTCTTCTTAAGAGAAAGTACCAAGGGAATCGACTTTGAAAAGCCTATTAGACATTTTTTGTCTCAAGTCTGTCCACTACAGAGGCTTAATTATGGCCCTTTGTGTTTTAGAACTAATTCAGGATTATGAGTTGATCTATGTTCTAGGTTATTTTTTTCTGTTTGTTGAATAGGAATAATACAGTTGGCAGTACATAAAGAGAATCAATTGCTTGATAAGGATTAATGACACTGAACTTGTTGATATGAAACTCCACAATTAGTTTAGACTCACTTTTGCAAGACATGAACCATTCTCATGTGATTCTTTAAGTTATGCAGGTTTGATTCAGTCGTTCTATCAGGTGTCTCATTGATGCTGTGTGCTTGCGTTAATTGGTTAAAGTTGGTGTCGTTTGTGCATACAAATTATGACATGCGGTCGCTTTTGAACTCAACTGATAAGGTAAATTAGGGGTCATTTTGGTTTTTATTGCAAAGGAACATATGTTTACTGCAACTTTGTCCAGATTTGCTATTATTTGAGATCTCCCCTTCAGCCTTTCCCCTGCCCCAATGCCTAACTCCCCTGAAAAAGAAGAGAATAAATTCTTATCTGAAATGCTCACCTTCATTGTATTATATGGAAAAGTTCCTCAAACACTTGCACATATTATGCTGTTAGGGAGAAGCGGAGTCTAGATCTTCAAATATGGAGTGTTTCTATGACGTCAACTTCAATAGCTTGGCTTATTTCATGGTTGCTCCTACGCTATGTTACCAGGTACCAAAAGCTCCAAGCTTCATTACTCTACAATTGGTTAATACTTCCTATCAGATGGATAAATGTATCAGGAATTTTTGAAACTATGTAATGGTGTACATTCTGAATGTATAAACTTTGTGAAAAACCTTGATTGAGCTATTTCATGCAAATATGGTTCATGCTGGGGTAGTGTGATTGGGTAGGTGTACAGATCCTGCGATGGGCAAAACTAAGAACTAATGGTTATTCTCTCTTTGTGGGACTTGGATCTTTGCAATACATTAGGATATAGAAAAACAGAAACAAATGTTCATGTTACATAGAATGCAGTTTGATTCTGTTGTAACACTGTATTACTCATGCAGCAGGGACATGTTTTGGTTTGGTCCTCTCAAGATTAAAAAATTCAGAGTATCTGTGTTAACCTGCAATACTATTGTGGCACATGAAACTATTCAAGTTAATGGGTAAAGAAGCTAAGTTCCACGATAGTATGTTTATTCCTTTAAACGCAATGTGCTACCTTCTACATGTGCTTCAGACGTTAAAAACTGTTATATGAAGCTGCTTTCTGTTGCTAAGCATACTGCTAATCTTGGTGTAAAGCTTTTGTCTACTGTCAAAATTTCAAATTTACTGATTTCTTGTTTTGAGTTTTCACAGCGTCTCCATATCTTTTGTCTTTAATCTGTCCCTGACCTGTGTGGTAACTTTTCTTTTTCTTTCTGGCGTGATGAATAAAATTCTTATTCTTGTTTTTGCTATATCACCCTCTATGCTACCTGAAGGGTTAATGATGAAATTTCCTTTATTATCATCATATTGAGGCATTTTTACTTGTAGATAAGCTATCCTCGCACTGCATTTATTCGAAAGGGTTGGGTGTTACGGCAACTGATCAAGCTAGTAATATTTACAGGGTTCATGGGATTTATCATAGAACAAGTAAGTTCTCTCGAAAGTTACAATTTTTTGAACGTGCTCTTTTTTGCTCTCCGCTTTGTGCATTTCAATTTGTATCCTAACATGGCATGCTTTATTTGCAGTATATCAATCCGATTGTAAAAAACTCGCGACATCCATTGAAAGGAGATATTTTATATGCGATTGAGAGGGTTTTAAAGCTTTCAGTTCCAAATTTGTACGTTTGGCTCTGTATGTTCTACTGCTTTTTTCACCTTTGGTAAGTCTTCACTGCTTTACTTGAATCTTGATGATGGCTTGCTTTTGCTTGACAACCAGCTTCTGTCGTTTCTCATGTTTTCTTTAACAAAAATCGGCAAATGTAAGCAAGAGCCCTTCACTCTGGAATAATGTTCTCCTTTCCTCTTCCGATAGGGAGGAGAGGGGACCTATGACCTTGGGCACGAGAGGAAAAAGTACCTTTATAAGTAGCCTATCGCATTGGTCAAAATTCTTTTATGTTTTCTCTTCTATGCAATATAAGGTTTGTGGAGAGAGAATGTAGTCGATAGTGTTGTATAATGTCTAAAAGTCATTAGCGGTGTCCTTGTATATGATTGTGATAAAGGAAGTAGTTAAAGCTGCAGTAGGTGTCTCTCAAAATGACAGTTGTATGAGGTGACAAACAATCGTAATGAGAGGAAATTGACACTAAATAAAGCTGTTATTTTCAACCTTTTCTATTTAAGCATACATCCCTTTACCTCTGTCAAACTCCCTCTTAACTTCCAAATCTGAAAATTTGAATAAAAAATTCAGAAGCTGATGGTAGTAACATGAATGATAAGATAAAAGAGGCATTAGACAATTTGTCACCTTCTATGGTTAAGCTGCTAAAGCTAAGGGGCTGTTTACTAAACGCTTACCCTGCTTACTGGTTCATTTACCTTACCGGATGAACATGTCAAGGGCTGAGAATCTTACCCGGTAAGAGCAATGATAGGGATGGAGAGTCTTACCTGGTAAGTGAGGGTGACGACTCTTACCAAGTGTTTACTGGGTAAATTGTTGCATTAAGATACAATTTTGATGGACTACAATCGTACCCGATAAAGTAAGTTAGAGTGTTGGATTTTACCGGTAAGCGCTTACCAGGTAAGCGTTTGGGTAAACGTCCCCTAAGTTTGGTAAATACTTCTACTTTGGGATGGCCTTCTGAAATTTCACATGTTTTTTTGCCGGTGGCAATGTAATTATCTTACAATTGGCGGTATACAAATCGGCCTCGGCATTGTTCATGTTTTTTATTGATTATGGAGTGAAAGTAAGGGGCCGTTTGGTTTACGGAATTCGAAGGAATTTGGAGGAATTGGAATGACAAATTCCAATTCCTTTGTTTGGTTCACTTCTTGAAATGGATGGAATCCTTTAAATTCCAATGGTGAGGGCAAGGGGTGGGACGTGACAGTGATAATATCCTGTGGAGGTAGTAGAGTTCTAAGAATATTGCATGATTGCAAGTATATTTGAAACAATTTAAATCCGATATGTTGGTGTGTTAGTTATCGATTGATCTTAGCAGTACAAGTTTATTCTCCTTCAGGTCAACAGTTGCTTCAGATGTCTTTTACTTATATGGGAAGACAATTAACATAATCCTCTGCTTATTTCTTTTTCTGATCAAGCTTCTAAATGCTCGTGCATAATTTGGATGTTCTTGTCATATCATTCTAGTTATACTTTTTGCAGCATCATGTAGTCATCTTTTTTACATGCGTTACTTCCTTATAGGTTAAATATACTTGCCGAGCTTCTTCGTTTTGGGGATCGTGAGTTTTATAAAGATTGGTGGAATGCTCAAACTGTTGAAGAGGTGAGGTCTATTTACTATTATTATTTGTTATATCCTAATATTATTTTCTTGTATTGCTGCAATTAGTTGCTGATTTTGCTTTCCTTTCATACTTTCGCTGTGGGTGCTGCTCTAGTATTGGAGACTATGGAATATGGTAAGTCCAGAGTCACGACTATTTTGCGTCATTTATAGTTTTTATGTTCTTCCTTTTGCTGCTGTAATATTACGGCCCCTATTCTACTCTGTGTGTGTGTATATATATTTAGTGGTGGGTAAAAACGAGAACACTACCATTTTATGAAAACGCGATAACTCCCACATCAAATATGATGTGATAATACACGTGAGGGACCTGTTTTTTTTGAAGTGGTGTCTCTGATTTAGTATCAAGTGTGATGGACTACAATATCTGATGTGACATGGGTGTTCTCACATTTTCATAAAATGACGGTGTTCTCGTTTGAACTCACTCATATAAATTTATGGTTCGGTTACTGCAATTTTTTCTTTGTAGAATGGTTATTGCATATGCTAGTTTGCGCAATTGACGTGAAGTTCTCTGTAGTGTAATCCATCATGTCATGAAAGACATCAATGGTTAATCCTAATATATCTGTTTCATTTTTTGAAGCCGGTTCATAAATGGATTGTACGGCATCTCTATTTTCCATGCTTGCGTAATGGGATACCTAAGGTAATGAGATTGGTTTTTTCCGGTTGTTTTGCTCTCTTTTTTCTTACTGTTTTAAGGGTCTATATAGTCGGACATTATTGTCTTTTTGCCTTTTCCTTGTATCTCACAATTCAAGTTGGTGTGCAAATAAATAATAGACCATATTTTCATTCCCTTGCTCTTTTTTTTTTCTTCCAAAATACTCCGCCTTCCCAAAATAGATGTCCACAATGAAAAATGCACAGTTATAGAAATTTGTAATTATTACACTTTTTAATCAACTAAATGACAATTTTACCTTAATAATGAGATTGTTTTCCCCTTGTTTTTGCTCTCTTTTTCTCACTATTTTAAGGGTCTATAAAATTGGACATTATTATCTTTGTGCCTTTTCCTGTTGCCTCACAATTCAAGTAGGTATCCAAATAAATAATAGATCATATTTCTATTTCTTGCTCTTTTTCCTTTCAAAATACTCACGACATCCCAAAATAAATGTTCACAGTGAAAAATGCACATCGTTTTAGAAATATGTAATTATTACACTTTTAATCAACTAAATGACAATTTTACCCTTAACAATGAGATTGGGTTTTCTCCGTTGTTTTTGCATTTTTTTCCTACTGTTTTAAGGGTCTATATAATCGGACATAATTGTCTTTGTGCCTTTCCTATTACCTCACTATTGAAGTAGGTATCCAACTAAATAATAGATCATATTTCCATCTCTTGCTCTCTTATATTTCCTTTCAAAATATGAATAAACTAAATGACTTTTTTACCCTTAATGATAGAGGCAATAATGATTTTCTTCACCTCATGATTAAGGGTAGAATTGGAAAGTAAGTTACTTTTGAAAGTGGACACTTATTCTGGGAGAACCTAAAGATAGAAAAGTGGACATTTATTTTGGGACAGAGCGAGCATTTTTTTTAATCATTTTTAACAGATTAGAAGCTGCTATGTTGATGTCTCAAAGGATACTTAAACTAACAGCCCATTGATACCACTGGGCCAAATTGCACTTAGTACACATACAATTTCTGATTCTGCATTGTGATACCATGTTATGCAACATACATCAAGCCAGAGGCTGATTTGCTGTTTCCATTTCTGGTTGCTTGAAGTCGATATCTAATTTTATTTGCTGTTTCAATCTTTGGTTGTTGCAAATCGATACTTGCATCATAATTTGCTTGAAAAATATAGTTTCCATTTACTATCCCCAACTGATGTTTGCATTTTCTGTAAATGATCGATTTTGTCGCACTTGGATTCAGGGTGCTGCCATCTTGGTTGCGTTCTTCATGTCTGCTGTGTTCCATGAGGTATATTGCTCTCTTTAGTTACAGAACATCTAAACAATGAACTGCACCAAATATTGATTGTGTTTGTATTTTCTTAAGCTTTGTATTGCTGTTCCCTGCCACATTTTCAAATTTTGGGCCTTCATCGGTATCATGTTTCAGGTAACGTTCTTTCTTCCCATTCTTTTTTCTTCATGCATCTTTTTATGGCATGGTAACCTTTTACCAACCTAACGACACTTGCATATGTGGATCAGGTCCCGCTGGTCATACTCACGAATTACTTGCAGCGCAAGTTCCAAAACTCGATGGTATCTCATTATTTTTATATCCCATCTCATTCTCCTTGAATCTTTAATCTTTGTATAGATTAAAAATGACCATTTCTTCTCTAAAAATCTCGAGGGGAAAGAAAGGAAATAGTTGAGAAAATATAATTTATGTTTCCTCCCAAATATGGGAAGAAAGGAGGGAAAGAAAATTTGAAAGGAATCTCTGATCTTTATGACAAAAATAACCTAATATGACCTTGTTACAAGGAAGAGTGAGGATAACACATATAAAGGGTATATTTGTAAAAGTGACATCTTCCCTTTCATTTTTCTTCTGTTCAAGAACATGAAAATTTGTTTCCTTTCCTTCCCTTTCAAGAACAGATAAAAAACTTTTCTTTCCTCTCTGTTTCTTTCCTTTCCAATTTTACCCTTCTCCTTTCTTTTGTTCTCTTCCCAAACTTGAGTGGCTGCTTGGTTTATGGGAGGAATGAAAATGAAATGACATGAATGAATTTCATTCCCCTCGGTTTAACCTGAAATAAAAATTTAGGCTTTTGGGGGATGTACTCGTTATGTTATATAAAACCAAGCGGTTTCTTTTATCTCCAATCCCGTTACTTACTGCTTAATATCTCTAACCAAACAGAAAATTCTCATTTTAGGTGGGAAATATGATTTTCTGGTGCTTCTTTAGCATCCTTGGTCAACCCATGTGTGTATTACTCTACTACCATGATGTGATGAATCAAAAGGTGAAAAACAATTAAAAAGAAGAAAAAACAGAACACCTTCCGAACGGTTATTGCCAGAGGTTCTTCAGCAAAGTTCCACATCGATGCTCTGCTCCAGGTTACATCATAAATTCTCTCTCTCATATGAAATCATGCCCTTTTACCAGAGGCCTTTACAGAAGCAAACACATTTTAGTGCTTAAAACACAATTTTGTACAAGAGTGTGTGTGTGTGATGCAAGAACATCATTGCATGTGTGATTTTGAATCTCTCAAGTGTTGGTCTCAAAGGTGTCACTAGTAGTAATGCCTTTTCTTTTTGCCAATTAAGTGTAAAATGTTATTTAGGCTTACATGTGTAAATTATCTCCTCTAGGATCAATAGATCATCTTCCTATGCTATGTTTTCAAGCTTTTACGATGGTGTTTCTGTGTGTGCATTCATGCTTATGGTTCTTGGGATATTTGGTATGCGGACGGGGCTGAATGGGTGATGGGTGAGAGAACCGTGGAAGATTTTAGGGGTTTAATTTGACATGAGTAGTTTAATAATCAGATTTGTCCGTCTCCGTAGTTTAATAAGTTTGATGAGACTTGCAGCTTATTCGGTCGGTTATACATAACTGTTTGGTAGTGGTTTTATGATATAGAAAATGACTTAGTAGTTTTTTAGGGGGAGCTTTATGCGAAAAGCCCATTTTTTTTAGAAACTGCCTCTTCCAATTAAAAACACACTCATTTCATCTATTAAAAACCATCTTAAATAAAAAACCTTATCAATCTATTCAGTCAATTTAATCCCAGAAGACAGATTAATCCTGATGAATAGTTTTATCCATACGTCACTTAATGAAAAACCAACCAAACATTCCCTATTGTCATATCTTGTACTGTACTACTATTCCGCATATGTTAGCAAAGACTAGCCGATTTCTGTGGTCCTGTGGGTTGGTTTTATGTGGTTCATAACTGTGGACTAAACTGGGGTTGGGCTACATGAAAACCAAGAATCTGGAGGAAAAAACTGAAAGCAACAAGTGGATCGAACGATGCTGAGTTGATTGTGTTTGGATCTGAAAACCGAATGATTTATGGTTCGGTTCATTGGAACCAACTCATGCATCCTATGCTCTGCTATATCGCGCTTGTGGATGGAATGGACCTTGCCTTTTACATATGTTTTTTTGCAAATAGATTAGGACTGTTTACCAAATGCTTACCGACAAAATGGGGTAACATTCTTTGCCATCAAAATGGATTGTTGGTAAGTGTTTATAACGTAGTAAATGCCTACCAGATAAGAGTAATCACCCTCACTGGGTAAGGCTCTCGATTCTTGTCTTTTATCTTACCGGACAAGGTTTTTGGTTCTTGTTACATTCAGTCAGTAAGGTAATTGAATCGGTAAGTATTTACAGGTAAATGCTCAGTAAACGATCCAATACAATGTGGTACCATATGCCATCATGCATTATGTACTTTCAGGGTGTGTGGTGCACTAAGGGTACTTGATGGATTAGAGTCAGTTATCGGGTGAAATAACTGTCAAAGTTCTAGGTTTTAGTTTGACAACGGTCAGTTTAGCAATTTATTAATCTTGTCTTATTTTCTTGATTTTTGTTCCGACCTATTTTGTCAGGACAAGAAAATGCACCTTTGTCCCGTTCGGGTACTGTTACGATCCAGTCTAATATTGTGCCAAACGCGTGCCGATAAATTTGAAAATAGATGAACGATTTATTTACGATTCGAGGTAAATGCAATTTTTATAAATGGAACTTCTAATATTGCATTTGAAATATGAAATCATGAAAAAGGTTAGTATATTAGTGGAGCTTATAAATGAATCTAGGATGCTTTGACTTTGATGTTTACGAAACATTTGTCTGGATAAGCGTTTATTAAATCACATTATCTTATGTAATAAATATGGTAAGGACTAAGAACTTACCTGGTAAGAGTGAGACAATGATCAAAAGTTTTATCCAGTAAATGAGGGGGACGACTATTATCATGTTAAGCGTTTACCGAGTAAATTATTACATACGATGTCATTTTAGTGGACTAAAATTTTATCTGATAAATAAATGATAGTATTAAAATTTATTCAATAAATATTAGTAAACAAACCTTTAAATATAAAAAAAAGAATGTCATTTTGGTTTCTAGGATCTGACAGAATTTGAATTTAAATTCAGTTTCAAAAGAAAGGTGCACAAAAATATTATTTATTAAAATAAAAATAATATTTATTAAAATGTTTAATTGAAAAAAATACTATTTTTCAATTTTAAACATCTAATTTTAATAGGAAAAGTTTAAAAAAATCCAATAGACTTTAGTGTTTGGAATGATTAAGTCATTCGACAATTTTTTGAAACAAATAAGTCGTTGGACATTCTAAAACGTGTTAAATAACTTCTTGGACAATTTAAAACATGTTAAATAATTCATTGGACAATTTTTTGGAACAAATAAGTCATTGGACAATCCAAAACATGTTAAATAACTCCTTGAACTTTTTTAATAACTTGTTGGATACATTTTTATGACTTGTACAACTAGTTAATGTGATAAAATAGTAAAAAAAGTCTCCAAAAAAACCTAATGAACATTCATATTTTGAACGATTAAGTCCTTAAACATTTTTTGAACCAAAAAGTATTTAGATCTATAAAATTAAACAAATATAACAAAAAGTACTTACATTTACAAAAAAAATAATTACATTTAAAAAAGATTTTTGATAAAATATTTAGTCAGTGGTTTTCAAACTAAAAAAATAAAAAAAATGTAATTATTTTTAAATTTTTTTTATTTTTTTTAGTTTGAAAAATCATTAACAGAATATATTTAATTTTAATTAAATAAATTTTATCAAAAATCTCTTTTAAAATGTAACTATTTTTTTGTAAATGTAAGTATTTTTTTGTTATATTTGTTTAATTTTATAGATCTAAAATACTTTTTGGTTCAAAAATTATTTAGGGACTTTTGGGGTTTTTTTCGGACTTTTTTTCACTAATTTACCACTTTAACTAGTTGTACAAGTCATAAGAATGTATCCAACGGCTTTTAGAAAAGTCCAAGGAGTTATTTAATATGTTTTGGATTGTCCAAGGACTTATTTGTTCCAAAAATTATCTAATGAGTTATTTAACATGTTTTAAATTGTCCAAGGATTTATTTGTTCCAAAAAATTGTCCAAGAAGTTATTTAACATGTTTTGGAATGTCCAAGAACTTATTTGTTCCAAAAAATTGTTCAATGACTTAATCATTCCAAACACTAAAGTCCATTGGTTTTTTAGACTTTTCCCAATTTTAATAGGGAAAATTGCACAAAAATTGAATCAATTTTCACCTGATTCCTATTTTGGGGAATCAACTTTCAAAATCGTCAGTTTGGGAAACCAACTTTCACCTGATTCCTATTTTGGGAAACCAATTTTCATCTGATTCATATTTTGGGGAATCAACTTTCAAAATCGTCATTTTGGGGAACCAACTTGCACCTGATTCCTCATTTTGCGGAACCAACTTGCAAAATAGTTATAGAAAAATAACTAAAATTCGTTTTTTTTCAAAAATTAATGCTCTATTTTTCATTTCAAATCTTTTTTTTTTAAATTCACATATCAAATTGAAGATTTTTTCGAAAAAAATCCAAATTACTACGATAAAAATTGTTTTTTACTAATGCAATAAAAAATCAATTTAATAGAAAATAAATTAATTGATGCAATAAAAAATAAATATTAAATATCACATTAAAGATTTTTATATCTAACCAATCTGTGTCAATATTAAAGTTTAAATCAAATTTGACAAATCCAACCAAAAGTTTGATAGAGACCCTTAAATTATCTGTTACATGTTCAACAGATCAACCAGACCCTTAAATAAACAAAAAGTTTGATAGAGACCCCTAAATAACGATTTTAAAAGTTGGTTCCCCAAAATAGGAATTAGGTGAAAGTTGGTTCCATTTTGGTGTAATTTTCCCATTTTTCTATAATTATTTTGCAAGTTGGTTCCCCAAAATAGGAATCAGATGCAAGTTGGTTCCCTAAAATGACGATTTTGAAAGTTGGTTCCTCAAAATAGGAATCAGGTGAAAGTTGGTTTCCTAAAATGATGATTTTGAAAGTTGGTTCCCCAAAATGACGATTTTGAAAGTTGGTTCCCCAAAATAGGAATCAGGTAAAAGTTGGTTCCGCAAAATGACGATTTTAAAAGTTGATTCCCCAAAATAGGAATCAGGTGAAAGTTGGTTCCATTTTGATGCAATTTTCCCATTTTAATATAGCATTCTTTAAAACATGTAACTTAGCATGAACATACATCTCAATATATCATGTAACAACTCATGCTACATATAAAAATAATACATGAAACTCAAGTTTTAAAGTCTTAGAATCTCGATCATATCGTTTGATTATAAAAAAAACAAATATATGGATTTTTTTTAAACAATGGTGCCATTTGACAAGAACAAATGACACTAATAGGATTCGAACTTGAGTCTGAGTGGAATAAAAGTCTTGCAGACTTACTATACTAAATAAAACTTGTTTTCTTTGTAGTTTCAAAATACATACGATGACATACAACAAATTAATACGGTTGCACCTTTCATGGACCTAAGTTTTTTTTTTTTTACTCTTCAATGGAAGAATAATACGGTGGCGCATCACTATAGGTCCGTACCTGATGACAAGACCATACAACCTCGCTACCTACACCGACATAATCCTACACATGAAACTTTAAGTCGATTAGACTTTAAACATGCCTCAAAGCATTCCAAATTTACCACTGATTTCGAAATCCTTACATATTATCCCATCTTTGTCCATTTGTCACAAATGTTAAATTGATATCCTAAATTCGATTTATATCTATTTAAAATCTATATATGAATCCATCTCTTAAAATTATCCAAATCTTACTCACTTAGGGGCCGTTTACTCAAATGCTTACCCAGTAAGTACTTACCGGTAGGAGTCAACACTATAATTTATTTTTCTAAGTAAAATTATACTGCATCAAAATGATATAGTATGCAACAATTTATCCGGAAAGCACTTACCCGAGTAAGAGTCGTCACTTTCACTTACTGGGTAAGACTCTCCATCCTTTCACCGTTCTAACCGGGTAAGATTCTAAACCTTTACCATGTTCATCCGGTAAAGAAAATTACCCGATAAACACTTACTGAATAAGCGTTTAGTAAACGACCCCTTAATTAACTTAACCAAAGTTGATTATATAACAAGTAGATTGATCCCATATAGCTCAAAGAACGATATTTAAATGGTTAATGTTTGCCTAGCAATTAAAATGAGGACTTAATTGTAGAAAAACAAACCTCGGGGACTGGAATTGATATACTCCCAAACTTCTATCAATATTAAACCACGTGGATCCCAAAACGCATCACCCGACTCGCACCTCATGACCCAAAGGTATAAAATCCCAGTCTCACCCGCTATCGAATCATTTCTCCCAATCGACCTCCGGCGACGACCACGGCGACGCTCTCACGTTCCTAACTCCGGCATCGACGATGCTCTTCACGTTCTAAACTCCGGCTATGGTGCACTCCATCCTCCTTCGATCGCCCGTTCTACCTCCGACTATTGAAACAGTTGTCCCAGATTTATACAGTTCAACATGCGAACCCATCTTAATAAAGACCTATCTAATTTCTTTCAAAATAAAAAAATGACTATTTAGTTCTTATTTCCTGACTTCAAGACCTAGCCATACAAAGATGGATGTCGTTAGAGAGAGATATCAGGTACGCCAAATCACTTTTCCGTTAAGACAAACACATTAAGAACATATCGAAGAGATCCCAAATCATTCCGTCTATTGTGTCCTTATTGTCGTTCTTCAAATATTGCATTACAAATCGGCTCATTAGGCCATAATGTGTCACATGCTTAACATGACGTCTACCATATCACGCACAGTTGTTGCAGAGAACCTTTTAAAACACTGGAATTTAGTAATAACTTAAGAACCAAAAACTATTAAAATTAAGAAGAAAAAGGGAACATAGGTGATAAGCAGATACAAAACAAAATACAACCATCACAACCACAAGGGTGGTGTCTGATTGGTTTGATCTTGACTCCAAATGTCAAAAGTACTAGGAGGTCCCAGGTTCAAATCCAAGGAAGAATAAAAATCCCCTTGTAACCAAGAAGATTCAAATGTGGTAATTCCGGACTATCTGCAAAGCAGGTGGTCGTCCTGGGATTAGTCGGTTCGCATAACGAGTTGGATATCCAGGTTAATAAATAAAAATAATACAACTATCACTTCATAAAGTACAAATCAAATCACTATAGCATCAAGGATTTACCACTTTATAAAAGAAACAAGTGATGAACTTCTAGTGATATTATGTCAAATTGTTCTAAAATTTAAGCAGAAAGACCAAAGCCTCGGAATCTAAGACAAACAGGTCTCGAAAACCGACAGTTCGGAAGTTCACGGTTTATTTTCTTGATCCACGGAGTCGTTACCAGCTTTAGTTGATTGCTCAGGCATCATAACACGGCCACTCAAGGGGTCAACTGGTCGTGTGTCACGAGGCCCACCTTTCCGCCCCATTGCCACCATGGGTGGTGGCGGCAGCAACCCTGCTCTGAATAGAAGGCGTTGAACAGGATCCGATGGTTGTGCACCAACTGATAGCCAGTATCTGCAGAACTCGAGAGGTTTGAGTAATCAAAACCAAACTAAACAGACCCGATAAATCTCACTTAAAAGTAGGGCCCCGTAGGGGGCATAATTGACTTCTTTTTTTCATCAACTATAAACGTTATTGCCCCCACGGCGATGAAGAGATTAGTACAAATTTGATGAAAAGAGGCGGAGTAGAGATAAAGTTGGAAACAAATGAAATCCATGGGATTCGGATTTGAAATGACATCCATCTCCAAGAGATTACTAATTCCGTCGGTTAACGGATTTCCTTGAAATCCCGGGACTTCAAATCCGAACTTCCCTTCAAACCAAACATAGGATTGGAATGGAATTCAATTCCAAATCCTACCGAACCCCGCAAACCAAACAGACCCTTTGCGTTTCTTCAACTATAGTTAAGTAATCAGAATGATTAAGAGACTCTCATGATATAGTTCAAAATGAAATATACTTGTTTGATAACTGTTTACAATGAAATTAGGGCGCTAAATGGTTAAGGGAAGCCTAGGATACAAAATCATTCAAAGAGTTTTGGAACCATTAAGAGGCAGACTCTTTTTTTTGCCAAACAAGATTCACCTCTTAACGATTCAGAGCCTACCTCTTAATGGAACTATTAAGAGGTAAACAAACAACCCTAACAGAACAGTTCAATCAACTAAATTGTGGATAGTGTTAATTGATACATCATCACATGATAACCAAAATCAATAGAATAAATGGTTTACCAGACAACTTACTTCACTCGTTCGAAATTAAGACCCATTCGTTTACCGCCATCTTGACCTGCATTAACCAACAATTAGCAACCCATGTATCTTAGTGGGTAACAATCTAATTTGAACTATTAAAGAACTTGATCCTGATCATTAAGGGAAAATTGCACCAAAATGGAACCAACTTTCACCTGATTCCTATTTTGGGGAACCAACTTTCAAAATCGTAATCTAGAGGTCTCTATCAAACTTTTTGTTTACTTAAGGGTCTGGTTGACCTGTTAATGCTGATATCATCCAGATTTTTTGTCAACTAAGATATTCCACGTCATATTAATTTTTTATTTTAAAACTAATATTTCACGTCATATTTAAAATTGCAAAATAATTATAGAAAAATAACTAAAATTCGTTTTTTTCAAAAATTAATGCAATAAAATCTAATTTTCATTTCAAATCTCGTTTTTTTTAAATTCAGATATCAAATTGAAGATTTTTTCAAAAAAAATCCAAATTACCACAATAAAAATTGTTTCTTACTAATGCAATAAAAAGTCAATTTAATAGAAAAAAAAGTAATTGATGCAATAAAAAATAAATATTAGATATCACATTCAAGATTTTTATATCTAACCAATCTGTATCAATATTAAAGTTTAAATCAAATTTGGCAAATCAAACCAAAAGTTTGATAGAGACCCTTAAATTACCTGTTCAACAGATCAACCAGACCCTTAAATAAACAAAAAGTTTGATAGAGACCCCTAAATGACGATTTTGAAAGTTGGTTCCCCAAAATAGGAATCAGGTGAAAGTTGGTTCCATTTTGATGCAATTTTCCCGATCATTAATTAGACAGATAGCTGACAATTTACACTCTTCTTTCAATTATAGAACAAAAAGCTCATCAATCAAAGTGATTCTAAGCTTTTTTTAATGTGTGGATTCATGAAAAACAGAAGTAAAGCATTAGCTTCTCAAAGATCAACTAAGGGGCTGTTTACCAAACGCTTACCCGAGTAAGCGCTTACCAAGTAACATTACCTCACCGGATGAATATAGTAAGGACCAAGAATCTTATCCGGTAAGAGCGAGACAAGGATCAAAAGTCTTGCCCGGTAAGTGAGGGCGACGACTCTTACCACGGTAAGCGCTTACCGGGTAAATTGTTGTATCCTATGTCGTTTTGGTGGACTAAAATCTTACACGGTAAGTACATAATAATGTTAAATTTTACCGGTAAGCACTTACCGGATAAGTGTTTGACAAACGGCCCCTAAGCTTAGTGAAGGCTCCAATTATACCACAATTCATTTGTTCATATTCTATTTACTTCCTTCACTGTTCATTCTAGCCATGAAAGGATGAGTTGGAGCAACAAAGGTATACATCATATCAAATGGCTAATATGAAAACTACAACGAAAATGAAGAAACGTGTTAAAGTTACACGGCTGCACTAAATGCTTGCTATAAAGGGCGGTATTAACCACAAGGGTGGTGCCTGATTGGTTTGAGCTTGGCTCCAAAGTTCAAAAGTACCAAGAGGTCCCAGGTTCAAATCCAAGGAGGAATAAAAATCCCCTTGTGCCCACGGAGGTTCAAATGTGGTGACTCCGGGATATCTGCAAAGCAGATGGTCGCCTTGGGATTAGTCGGCTCGCATAGCGGGTTGGATATCCAGGTTAATAAAAAAAAGGGCGGTATTTGGATCATATGCAACTTATGAGTTCTTTTAATCATATTGATTATTGAATACCACTCTTCATATCCATAAACCTTTGTGCTGATTTATATCCACTGATTAAATTCAAATCCAAGTAGATTAAGCTTTCCAAATCCAAAACCTATGAAACCGGTGAAATCATCCAAACCAATTTATGCTATCTTCTTTCTTGTTCATCGCTCAACGACGTTGCAAAATCATCACTGGAGTTGTATGCTCCTTTTGGTTTAAGATCCTATGCAACAAGATTAACAATATTTAACCACAAGGGTGGTGCCTGATTGATTTAAGCTTGGCTCCAAAGGTCAAAAGTGTCTGGAGGTCCAGGGTTCAAATCCAAGAAGGAACAAAAATCCCCTAGTGGCCATGGAGGTTCAAATGCGCCGACTCTGGGCTACCTGCAATGCAAAGCAAAGCAGGTGGTCGCCCGGGATTAGTCGGCTCGCATAGCGGGTTGGATATCCAGGTTAATCAAAAAAAAATATCATTGGAACAACAAATATTGTTAATCTTGTTATATAGGATCTTAAACCAAAAGAAGCATACAACTCCGGTGATGACTTTCCAACAACTTCATTGGGCGATGAACAAGAAAGAAGATAGCATAAATTGGTTTGGATGAGTTCACCGGTTTCATAGATTTAGGTTAAGGGACTAAATCCATAACCAAATGAATTAGTGTGATAACAGAATGAATCATATCAAGGATGAGCAAACAATAGGCTATAAAACAACTCGATGTTCTAATTCCTCATGTTTCCATCAAATCACAACTCCAAATCAACCACTAATCGAACATAATCCTGATAAAAAAACCCAAAATTCATCCCAAATCTCAAAAACCTTCTAATCTACCAACCATTTCTTACAATTTCACTCATTTCACATCTCCTTTTCCCCCCAATTGGTATCTCTTTATAATCGGTTTCAATCAACCCCCCAAAATCAAGAAATGTCGTGTTGGAAGACACATAATCATTCTGATCAAACCCTAATTTCTTTCAAGTTGGGATTAATCAATATTTATCAGAAAATATACAAATCAAGTAAGAAATGAAGAACCTGGCAAAGGATTATAGTAGCCCAAAACTTCGATATGCTTTCCGTCTCTCGGAGATCTGCTATCGGCGGCCATAACTCTGTAAAACGGCCGGTTCCGGCATCCCAACCTCGCCAATCTCAGCCTCACCACCATTTCTTCTTCCCGTGAACTTTCCGTCTGTGAGAAAAAAAAAGCAAAATAGGGTTTTGGGTTTAGAGAGATTTGGCTTTACATACCCCCACACCCTTTTGATATGGATTAATGACATAAACTACACCAAAGTTTCACTTATTACACTTTGCTCCCCTGTTAGTTTTCTTTTCGGAAACGTCTTACTACCCGTTTGAATCTTTTACGTACGACCCGAAAAAGCACATCCGAGTCGACGAATCTTTTCTAGTACCCCGAGATTAAGTCATGTAAGACTTCCCTTCTGGTATTAATAGTCATGGATAGAGATAACGTTTGCATACATCATTTTTCAAGATTGTATTCTGTGTGAGATATATCAGTTACATTTGGTTTAGTTCACTATCGTCTACAGGTATGCTAACTAGTAACCAAACTGGTCAATGGCTTCAGTAAGTTTTTTCGAAATCTACTTAGACATTCAAATGAAAAATGACTTGTTTGCAAGTTATCAAAATTAAACCACAAGGGTGGTATCTGATTGGTTTGAGCTTGACTCCAAAGGTCAAAAGTGCCTGGAGGTTCCAGGTTCAAATCCAAGAAAGAACAAAAATCACCTTATGGCCACGAAGGTTCAAATGCGGTGACTTCGGGCTACCTGCAAAGCAGTGGTCGTCCTGAGATTAGTCGGCTCGCATAGCGGGTTAAATATCCAGGTTAATCAAAAAAAAGTTATCAAAATTACTTTCACTGAGATTTAACGTTTTGATGAATGTTAAGTAGATTTATCAAATACCGAAAAAATCATTCCCTTCAACATTTTCTAATATGAATTACTCAATCAAGCAAAGTATACGGGGTTTGTGGTCGAAATGACAATTACATTGGTGCAGTACATGACAAATATTGCAATAGAACAGGTGGGGGTGGATTCAGCCCAGTTAGTATCGCTCCCACTTTTATTAAGGTATTTAGTTAAATAACGTTATATGAAAGTCGTTTTAAGCTATATCCCCCCGAGCCAAGTGGATCATGCATGAAGGAGTCAGATGTTTATTCTATTCTTTCCCTGGTGCAGTTGGGCCATCTTGGAGTTGAACCAGACTACGGTGACGATACTGTAAGGGAGGTCCTGCATCCCGGGTGGGTATTGATCGGGCCAGGCCAAAAAGGCACTTCGAACTATTAACATTTTTACAAGATGATGCTATTATTAGAAACTCATTTAAAAGACTGTACTAAGATGTTACCCTTTTGCTCCCTAATTTTTCCACATATACAAAAAATAATAAATTTTGAATTTTGGTCCCTCTAGTCTTTATGATTTTTCGATTTTGGTCCCTATAGTTCATTTATTTGGAAAAAAAACCTTGTGGTATGTGTTTTAGTATGATTTTGGTCTCATTCAAGTGTCTTCATATGAGGGTATTTTTGACAATTTTATGTTGCATTTTGAGAGGGAAAAAAACCCTAATTAATCCATTTAATCACTCCTCATTGCTTGGTGGGATTGTGTTTGGCCATATTATTAATAAAAATGAATGACTAGTTATTGTAAAAAATTAGAGCAAGGGGTCGTTTATCAAATGCTTATTCAGGTAAGTGAACATCAAGTCATATTATCTTATCGGATGAATATGGTATGGACCAAAAATCTTATCCGGTAAGAACGAGACAAGTACCAAGAGTCTTATCCAGTAAATGAGGGCGATGACTCTTACAATGGTATCGGTAACCGGGTAAATTGTTGCATACGATATCGTTTTGGTGAATTAAAATCTTACCCGACAAGTAAATTATAGGGTTAAATTTTACCCATAAGCGTTTACCGAGTAAGTATTTGATAAACGGCCCTAAATCGTGTTCTTTTTTCTGTGGTTTATTAAAAATTGTTACTTTTGATTTAGAATTCATTGTTGTTTTCGTTCATAAGACTAAGGAAGTTGTTTACAAAATGCTTACTCGAGTAAGGGCTTACCAAGTCACATTACCTCTCCTGATGAATATGATAAAGACCAAGAATTTTACCCGGTAAGATCGAAGGCAAGGACCGAGAGCCTTACCCGGTAAGTGATGGGGATAACTCTTACCACGGTTAGCGTTTACTGGATAAGTTGTTACATACGATGCCGTTTTGGTAGACTAAAATCTTACATGATAAGTAAGCGATAGCATTGAATTTTACCGTTAAACGCTTACTGGGTAAGTGTTTAGGTAGACGGTCCCTAACTTCGTAAGTGGTTTATTGTTAAATATGAGGGACGAAAGCAACAACGAGCTGTACACCATAAGGACAAAAACGACAACGAGTTAAAGCATCGTTAACATATTCTCTATAATTTTCCTAAGATAGATAACCAAAAGCTAAATTACATTTAATTCCAACAGATTTTCTATTTTAGAAATTTCAACATTCATTATACTGTTAAAATATTTCATAAATTTATCATCTCAGTATCCTTTTTAAGAAGATTTTATATAAAATAATAATTATTCAACCCCATTGGTGGGAAGACTTGAGATCACGTGAGACCAGCTTGTTTCATGAGACCCGTGAAACTATTTTTTTACACTTCAAACTTCACAGCAAAACGCTGTGAAGATAAAAAAAGGTCGAACCTTCACAGCAAAAACATTGTGAAGGTTACTTTCATAGCGTTTTGCTATGTAGTTTCAAGTGTAAAAAAGTGGTCTCACGTGAATCCAACCATTTGTGGGAATGAATAAAATATCAAAGGGTATTTAGGTAAAAAGTAATATATCTTTGATACACGAGTTGTCAGACATATGAACAACTTGTGTATATCCTCAAATCACATTAAACAAAAATGATTAGACATATGAACAACTTGTGTATATCCTCAAAACACATCAAACAAAAATGATTAGATATATGAACAACATGTGAACCGTATGAACATCTTCTGTATATTCATGAGCCAACTCTGTTGTATGTACGTGAACACCTACGAAGCTTGTGTTCACATGAATCACAGATACTGTTCATATTCATGTGATGTGATTGTGCATATGTATCGATATGAACATCTATTGCCTTTGATATGTGTTCATTTAAACGAATCCAAATGTCATACTAATCACTTACCAATAGGAACGCTTTGATCATTTTCTTCATTATCGGAATTCGAATTGCGAATGTAGTCGTAAACGATTTTAACTTTCTCATTTCCATTGTTGTCGATCTGTTTTACAATAGGTTTATCCATATTACTCGGACGATATCGAAATCTTTTACACTTACGAAATCAATATCATTATAGGTAGAACATCATTTGTAAATTAGAAACATGAACAYGTATGAAAACCAATTTCAATATTACATCATGATCAATTAATGAGATTTTTCATATTTGTAACTCCCAATTAATTATTTGGGAGTTACATAAATGAAAAATTACCTAATTACCCTTGTAGTTAATATATGAGTTACATTTGAACCTAAAGAAAAGAAGGAATATGATTGGTTGAGCTTATGTGTGTGTATAGGAATCTCTTGGAGCAAAATAGAGAATAAAAGACCAATTTTCTCTATTTTAAAGAAGAGAAAAGTTCAAAAACAACCCAACAAAATTTTCCATCTTGAATGGTTTAGTCTCTAAACTACTTTTTTGAATTAAAAAACCATTAAACTTTCTCACTTGAATGATTAAGTTCCTGCACTATTTTTTTGAATGAAAAAACCGTTAAACTTTCTCTTTTTAATTGAAAAAACCATTAAACCTTTTCATTTTGATTAATCAAGTCCTTGAATAACCAATCGTTTTAACCCAAAAAAGTTGCATTAATTGGCTAGTAAAAGTTCGATGTTTTATTTACTTTTTAGAAAAAAATTCAGGGTCTTAATAATTTCAAAATATGAAAGCTTAATAGTCTTTTCATTATAAAAATTAATTCAGGAACTTAATTCTTCAAAATGAGAAAGTTTAATGGTTTTGTCATTAAAAAAAATAATTTAGGGACTAAACCATTCAAAATAAGAAAGTTGGTTGGGTATTTTAAACTTTTCTCTTTAAAGAACTTATTGGAGACGCTCTTATAAACCACGAAAACCAAACAACACTAAATTGTAAACTAGAAGCACGAAACCGAAATTGAGAAACAAATGAACAAAAATAGCAATTTTCATTAAATTATAAGGATTAAAATCATAACTTATTAACCACAAGGGTGGTGCCTGATAGGCATGAGAATAGGCCCCGACCCGTCGGGGAACCCGGTCCACCTGCGCCGGTTCTGGATGAGGATTCCCTGCTAAATCGGGGATGGGGACTAGGACGGATATGGTACTCCCCGCACCGCCCCGTACCCGTTATATATATTAATTAATAAATTATATATATATATATATTATTTATTTCACTAAAACGGTAGTTCATAATTTCCTATTTCTTAACTAGACTTATAATCTAAAATTGTTATTTTTTGGATGTTAATATGTAATATTTTGGATGTCAAATCAAAATGCAATTATTCGATAAGTTTTGTATATTATTCGATATGGTTTTATATTACTCAATATATTTAGGTACATATGATTTTATGTTTTTTTTTGGATTTAATTGAATATTTTTTGGTTTTATGCTATTAGTTCTTATATGATATTGTGGTTTTTTTTGTATTAAATTAAATTCATTTTGGTTTTAGGTTTATTGAAAATGTTTGAGATTTAAACATATATGGTCTCTCACATATTTAATTTAAAATAACTTATATAAACGGGAAAAAAATCCTCATTTCCCCGTTGGGGATCCCCGTTCCCTATTGGGGATGGGGCAACGGGGAACGGGGATGTGATTATATTCCCAGACAGAGATGGGGACGGGGATAGAAATAAGTAATCAGGGACGGGGATTGAGATCCCTGCTCCATTCCCATGCCTAGTGTCAGATTGGTTTGAGCTTGACTCCAAAGGTCAAAAGTACCAGGAGGTCCCAGGTTCAAATCCAAGGAGGAATAAAAATCCCCTTGTGGCCACGGAGGTTTAAATGCGGTAACTACGGGCTATCTGCAAAGCAGGTGGTCGCC